TTTTTTGCGGTAGCAGACTTCGCTTACGCAAAGTTAGTGACGTCTGCAATTATCACGCCTTATGTGAGTTTTTCTTCTCTACTGTGTTCGGCAATAGCGCTCGTGAATTTCAGACATGGCAGAAAGGAAAGGAATTCCAGAAGGGCCATCATTCGTATTTCTGGTCGATTCTGAGTCCAAGCCCTTTGAGATATCTGTAACATGATCAGATGCAGGTTAATAGTGATAAATATTCACAATACATCCATGTTACACATTTTGAAATTTCGCATGATCAGATCCAGTAGGAAAGAAGTTACGACTGAAAAGAATAACTGAAGAACATTTCGCCCAATACTTTTGAGCACTACTGTAGTTTCGGCATGATCCATTACAGGTGAGTTCAGTTACATCATTGATGCTGTATGACATATGCGTCTTAAATAACATCAAATGCTATTATAAAGCATCTGCCCTTATGTTACGTTGGATATATACGGTTTTAATGAAATTTTGATTTTTATGCAATCGAAAGATGCCATGAATCTTCAGGGTAAAGAGATGTTTGAATAATAGTCATACCTTTTCTGTAGTCGCCAGCGTGTAACCGCCTGCAGAAACAGAAAAACCGGTTAGTGGAGTGTAAAGAAAAAAGGCAAAGCTCGAGGGGGCGAGGCGATCTCAATTAGGTGTGAAAACTGCATGATCACAACGCTGCCCGCATATTGATGTGTAGCAAGGTAAATGTGATTGATAGGAGAGAATAACAGCGGAAACTTCCCACTGTAACTAGGTAAGAGTTTTGATTTTTGTGCAAAATAAGAAAAGCAAGTCCTAATTTTTCTCAAGATGCTTTACTTTCTTAGTGTTCCCATTCCCCTCAGCTTTTTGTCTTTTACTTGTTTGATAACGGTATGGAGACAAAATAATGAACACTTTGTCATCACATCTAATTAAGAGCCTCGCACCGAAGTGCGAAATGTCCCCCACCGCACAGAAGTTATCACTCCTAAACCAGCGTTCAATACTCTATCAGTAAAGCAGTCTTTTGGCGGTTGTCTTAGATAAAACACAAACGAAAAAAGATGCAAAAGAAGTAGGAACACATGACCAAACTAGGTTCACTAGTCATTCTCCTGTCATCAAGGCCTGTCCGCAGTGTCCAGCCACCCCTAAGTAACTGCAGCGCGAACCGCGACGCAACCGCTCACACGAAGGGTTTATATGATTTTGATAAAGTTCTTCCGCGTTACCAGAAACTAGAACGCCTTCAGCGCAGATTAATTCTGTAAAACTAAGGAAATACTGAATACTCGACGATCACTCGGAAAACACCGTTCTATACTGTGACATCAGTTGTCAGAAACACAGTGTTGTCAGTAATGATGTCGTCCATTCTTTGGTGCTATCTAGCTGACGCCCACCTCGCGTATCATGAATCTCATCCTCCCTTTTGACCACATCATCACCACATGTTCTGACATGCGTACGCCTGGGAAATTGCCATTTTCAATACTAAAAATTTTGTCACAGCTTGAGCAAGATTCGAACAGCCCTTCGAACGGTGAAAGCTCCCCGGATCCCCTATCATTGTTGATATGATTTAGAAAACGCTTATCAACAGCCCATAGAAATTAAATTCGCATGTTACAACAATAGTTTGCAGCTAGTGTTATGTACCCACTCTTCGTTATAAAAGAGCTCGGTCTTCCTCTGGATTCCCGGCAGTTAGCGAAATTCACTCGATCAAAAACTAGTGAAAAATAGGAAAGGTTAAGAGCCGTATAGAATTTACTGTACTGTCAAATACTGCGCAAAATTCCATAATGGACGACTGGCATAAATACGTAAAGTAACACAAAATTCAAAAGGGCTGTAGGCTATGGTGACGAAGACTGCTTAAAACATGAACCTGCTAGTTCCCCTGCAACCTCAAGCTAATTGGGTGCCAAATTTAGGTGTCAGAACAATAAGAATATTATGATTGATTACGAAAATGGAGTCATCTAATGGTCTCAGAAGCACGGCATAGAGCCAACCTCGATTCAACACCTCTACGTTTCAATTCCAATGCACAAGCCTTTGGAGCATGAAAAAACGACCACGGTTGCAGGTTACATGGCGTCGCAAAGTGCTCTAACCCTGGAGTGCCATCACACGCTCTCACATCTTGTTGAGTTTGAGGGCCCTCGCTTCAGAGTCACTGAGCCTTGTCGCGCCACAATATCGGATTCACGTGATCATATCACGTTGATACTACCCCAGAAGCATGCGTTGAGGTGACGCCGTTTAAAAAGTTCTAAGGAAAGGTATTCATATTCCCTGTTGCATAGATGTTGCTCGTTCTCCAATATAGTCCCTCTGCATTGGAGATCCGAAAACAAGTTAGTGCGCTCTACACTAGGAGTAATGCAGCGTTCTTCCCTTTCCCTTGAAATTAAGGCTCGGGAGCGAAACGCACAAATGACATGCAAACTGAAATCTATCGAATTGTATTAATACGTCTCACGCACGAAGACTTTAAAATGCTGAGGTTCGCGCAAAATCGCTTTGTTTGGAGCCTAAGAGGACTGAATCGACATTTGTTATTCATCCGAATATCCATCACCCTACAAAACTTTCGGAATAAACCTAGTCATCAGAGAAGTTTATCATCAGTTTGATTAATTTGCATTCCCATTACATGTATGTCGAAGTGGCAACGGAGTAGCTGAAAATTCCGGCACTGAATGTTCCCGCTTGGACGTCCTCCTATACGCAAATGAAGTGGTGTGGCTGTCCCGCCTACAAACTCACTTGAACACAGCGCGATCCCCTCCCCCAGCCGGCAGCACACAGCTAGATGATTGAGATGTGCTTTGGTGAACGGTTACAAATCAGAAGTCGTCTAAGGTGGAAGACCTCCTACTAACAGGTTTCCTGCAAACTATATTTTTGTGGGAAGGCGCACCTCATCAGTGACAAAGTGCTACGCAAGAGGTCATTCCGTTAAGGGAATCACAGAAGACGAAGACAGCGTCAGCGACGTAAGTGTTCACATGAAGAGAAAGACGAATAATTTGAACTACTCACCATTTTCAATGACTTGGTTTGCGGATGTGGTAGTAGATGGGAGAGGCAAGTATTCACTGACCACATTGCCGACGGTTGGTTGGAGTGACTTATTTGCATAGTACTTTGACCTGTGATAACAAAATGTGCAGCAAAATAGAATGAAATTCTGCATTACACTCATTAATGATGACGCTGCTGTTTTTTCTTATTGGAATCCTCAGTTAGAATATGTCGGAAATCGATCACACGAGAAAAACTTAAGGATACGCTCAGATTTCCAACAAATATCCTCTTTCCTTTTTCCTGAACGTGACTTGTGACTCAAATTCCTATGTGTTTATAGCAATGGAAGTACATAGTAGATAGCGAAACAATTGCATAGCGGAATTTTCATAAAATATTGGATAAAAGAGATCATATCACGATCGTTAAGCTGAGCTGCCAAGGCTCAGATTTCATCTACATCTACTCAATTTCTATTTTTGAGTTACTCAGACACCTCAAACCCTTTGACAAGAAGCCGCGAAAGGCATTTCCCATTTAAATTTACTTGCTTGCTCCACCATTACTGGGTTTTCCAAAATATCAGTCAAGACTACCAGAAATAAACTTTGTCAAATTTCATTATGGTAATCAGAGAACGCAATCACATTGTTAATTCGAACACATCACTTGGGACTTATCTAATCGTTTCAACCAAGGGCTCTGCTGCCATTTTCTCCCAACGTCTTTGAAGCCCCAGTTTGTTTAAGGTCACCCTTCCTATTTTGGAAGATACGAGCCACGGTCGAACCTCTCTTATAATGTGATCGTATAAGTATTGTTCCGACTATTACCGGAATGGGAGGAGGTGGTATAGTGAAATGTGGCGCACTATCACACATGCATGGTCACGGGTTCGGATTCTGGATCGATATCCGCGTAGGCCGACCAATCTTCCACCTCTGCGGAAGCGGTTAATTGGTACCAGACCTGCCTGGGATGGTAAAGGGAAGCATCGAGAAAGCAGTATTTTATAAGCGATCTAGAAAATACTTGCGATTCAAAGTTCTATGCAAAGCCGTAGGGTTCAGAAGAGTGGAACACTGCTTGTCTGTTGTATGAGTACGCACAAATCACCCTTTTGGCGCTTCAAACCAAGGTTCCTGGAACACGGCTCTCTCCGTTGATCGTATCAAGAAGATTCAAATTATGTGATCAACCGCATGCACCACGCACGCGCGTAACCTAGACTGATTGAATGGTGAAGCAAGTGCAAAACCCTTTTGATCAAAGACAGTTGAAAACCAAAAAGTGCAAAAATAAATGTAACGACGGAGGGAAACTCATTTTCTCAATCACAAAACGTTCAAAGAATTGTTCGCCACAGACAGTGACCCAGACTGGCAACTTTTTCGCTCAGCACAAGTGAAAGTCCCAATCACCAACATGTTTGAGAGGTTTTTTCTACTCTCACTGCTTCTATGAAATCGACAGATAGGAGTACTGGTGTCCAGAATTATGAGACGCAATGAAAAGTTTGGAACTGTCTCCAACAAAGAAAGAAGCGGTCCTACATTCTTTCCATTGAAAAGTGGAAAGTGACGATAAACTTCATGCACCTCGTTCTGTGAAGACCGAGAAAGGTACATTCCTCTTTAGGTCTAACCTCCTTCATGCTTAGGATGTTACATCATTAGTATAATTTGTTTCAAACAGAAAACCCCCTGAATAAAAGCTTTTCATGTTTTTCTGTAATTCCTGACTTCGCATCGAGCTTGCGCCGTTCAAAAAGTATTTGTCTGCAATAGAAAGCAGATGAAGAAAAATCCTAATTTTGTTGCAAGAAAAGCACTGTTTCAGAACAAAATCAAATTTTCTGAAGCGAGTAGTCAGGTTGACGAGATTCAGCAAGTCTGGCTCGCCCCCTCTCACTAGGAAGGAGTCAATCTCGAAAAGAACGACGTCACTGATATCACAATCTAATACTAATAGGTCCAAGTTTTACTATTAATCCAGAGTAGATAGAAGAAACCTGGAAACATTGCAGCGTGCTGCCGCATTCCTGAGCACATTTCCTTTTCCCAACGAGCTTCTTGCTGTAATGGAGGAGGCGGCTGAGCAAATCTGAATAGTCACATCATTCAAAGGGAATGCTGGAAATCGCTCTTGTCGTCACCTTCCATTAGGAGGCGGTTGACTGGTATTGTGGCAAGATCGTAAAGGATGTGCGAGAGCAGACGCAGAAAAGCCTGTGTACTGAACTGCGTATGGTGCAATGCGCTGCGTTCCCACTGGATGAGGCATGCTAATCAAATCAGGTGGAGGTATAGCGAGAGAAGGAACCATGCCGTTGGAGCCAGTGCTTATTGGCGGCATTCGTAAGTGCGTACCATTCGATTGTACATTCGCTATAGAGGCATCATAACTACGTGATGTAGCCTGAGAGTGATTCTGAAATGTGAAGAAAGCAATTTCGAAATGGCCCGAAACAGTAAAAAGCTGAAGGACCCGAAACAGCGGGGTAACATTGCTGTGTTGCATCATTGAAGGTGATGAAGACTGAATTGTCGTGGAAAGCATAGAAGATGGCTGCTGTAGAGGTGTAGTCGAAGCAATGCTGATCATGTCTAGCATATTCCCGGCCGTCCAGCCCATATTCTGCGATTGGGGAACTAAAATAAAAAATGAGTTACCCAAAAAGCTAGCAGCGGAAAAATCCCAAGTCTAAGGGGCAATTTAAATTGTCCTCATGTTCGAGACGTATTTCTGGATGCTGATTTCGAGCAGGCGGTTCAAATCCGCCAAACGATTTGATGAACGAGGTTATGAAAGCGGTTCCTGGTAAGTGCTTAACATAAAAAAAACACACAAAACATTGATCGTAACTACGCTCACACTGGTGAGCTGGAGCAGTGGTAAACATAACCTTTCATATGCATGAAACAATGGATCGGGTTTTGCGAGGGCCGCCAATTTCGGACTTTGCGACGCTTATTTCTAGACGGCGGAAAACCTGTGTATGTTGATTTGACCGACTTCCGCTGCCTTTTTGATGCCTGAAGTGATCCGGCTCTTTTCCAAATAAGCCATCGAATTTGGACCTCGGGCGTTCAAATTCAGAAAGGATGTGGGCGGCAGCATAGCAACTCTATTGCAGGTGGCAGGTATGAACTTTGCCCAATAGGATGGGGCGTACGCGAAAATTTATTCCTTGGAGCTGGAAGGTTCAAGTTGGTGGGGAAAGTTTTCTAAATGACATACCATCAATTCACAGTTTTGCAATCTTCGAACATGTAGCGTATACGTGCGGCAAGAATTACGTTGTGGTAATTTGGTCGATATACCGCTATGCTATATCGATCTGTTGCGTAGATTACCGATCAATCGCAGCTTTCTTCCTTTCAGTCGTTCAGTGTTCCAACTCGAAAAATCGGATAAATGTGATGGGAGCATAACTGTAAACGCTGCGATCGATAATGGTAACCGATTTTGATCCCACTGTAGTTTTGAACTACTCAATATGTGGTTTCTACACACTACTCATTTTTCCAAACAGAGAATGGAAGGACTAATAAGCGTTTCAACCTCAACATGAGGAGGAGAGCACGGCCTCCTAGTGATATGTCCTCATACATATGTGTGTCTTGAGCAGTCGTGTGTACCCCACTCTGCTGGCTCGCGGTTTATTCAGAACCTATCTGACCTTTATTTTATCGTTACGACACGGTATTCTTATCATATATCGTACGACTACATTAAGTATAACACTATTTCATCGACGACGTGGCGGTGCAGATAAATTCGAGTTTATTGGTGATAGATTTGTGTTCAAACGTTCGATTGGTGTTATGTCATCATATCGATTGCGCCCACGAATGAAGAGCAATGTTGAGGAGGCATCAAACGCGAGTTGTAGTGTTCAGGGAAACTGTCCTGCAGACTCAGAAATCGCTAATATGTCAATTGGTGAGCTTGTGAGCGCCATGATGGAGCGAAATGAGCAGGTAAAAAATCCTGTTATGGCGAAGTTTTTGAATGCTCTTGTCTCTAGGTTGCCTTAGACCATTGCTGATGCTGTGGAGGCGGATAAAAGGGGTCGTAGCTTAGTTGTCTGTGGAATTCCTGAGTCTAGCCCCAATATTCCTCCTCCTGGCAAGCAAAAGGAGTTAGAGGTTAAGGTGACTGAAGTACTTGACATTTTAGATGTCGAGTGTAGACCAATTGAAGAGTACCGCATGGGTAAACCTGACAGCTCACGTCCCAGGCTGGTTAAACTGGTGCTGCCGTCGAAGAACCACTGGATTACAGCGCATACCAACAGTCACCGCCTACGCGCTTCCAACTTCTCAACAGTATTCGTGCGGAAGAGCCTTACGCCTGCAGTGCGCACTCTTGATAAACAGCTTCGGCTGGAGTTAAAAGCGAAATGACTAGCTGAATAGCCGTGTCTGGGTGGTGCATCGCGGCGAGTTGAGGCGTGCTGATGAGCTACCCAAGTAACGGAAATCGGTAAACCCTCAGCCTGTCGCGGGACACCCCCCGGAATGAAATGTGACTTGTTCAATTCTAGAAGTCTCTGCAACAAACTCCATCACCTCCAGTATTTTCTAGATGCCTGCAACCCAGACCTCCTTTTTGTTACAGAAACTTGTTGTCAGCAAAAATATCGGATTCTGAAATCCTGTCAGGTCGTCCGTATACTGTTCATCGCATTGACCGAATAGGGCTTAGAGGTGGTGGAGTGTGTTGCCTAGCCAAGAACTTGATAAACTTAACTACCCGGCTACTCCTGGTTTGAAGTCTGAACTTCTTTGCCTCCAAGGATTTGACTTTTTTTCCTCCACACGATTTACGATTATTCTGTTATGCCGCCCTCCTAGCTCTGATGACGACGAAAGTCTTTTTGAAACTATACTGGACCACTGCTTTTCAAACGAGCATCTAATTGTTCTCGGCGATTTCAACCTCGATATAGACTGGTTGACAGGAAAGGCTAAAAGTTCCGCGTCGTCCAAATTCCTTGAATTTTTTGAGTGTTGTTCTTTGGTTCAGCTTGTCACCCAGCCTACGCGTGGAAGCTCCATTCTGGATATAGTGCTGGCCAATGCTCCAGTGGTCAAGAATGTTCGTGTTGGTTCCCCTTTTGCTGAGTCCGATCATAGTGTTGTCGCCTTTGATATTATCATAGCGCAGCCTGAGTTCTGGGAACTCCCCTTACCTAACTTTTTAAAGACTGATTTTGCTTCGCTCTCGAAATACTTTTCCTCCATTGACTGGCAAGGTGCATTTGAGGGATATAGATCCGTTGATGACCTCTACAAGAGATTCTGCCGCATTCTCTATTCTGGATTTGCTAAATTTGTGCCTTTTGAAACTAAGAAAGTCCGGAAGGTGTGGTACCCGAAACACATCAATAATTTGATGGCACAAAAGGTCAGGCTTTTTTCTGAATCACAAAAGTTCCCTTGGACTCTCTGTCGCTATAAGCAAATCTGTAAGGAGCTGGATTATCACTTAAAAAGATTTTTGGCTTACAAAGAAAAGCGAGCGGCTTCCAGTACAGATAAGAGGATGTTATTTGCTCTCTTCAGAAACAAGATAAAGTCGCCGCCCTTTGTACCGATACTTCAGGACGTCTCTGGCAAAGAGATTTCGAGTAGTTATGAGAAAGCTGAAACTCTCGCACGATTCTTTTCCTCTGTATATACTGGACCAGTAGTCAATTTGGATTCAGCTTTAGAGGGCAGTTACCAGCCAGACTCTTCATCCCTTATGTTACCTCCCGAAGATGTACACCGAATTCTGAAGTCTCTCAAAAGCTCCTGCTCTGTACCGTTCGATGGCATTCCCCAGATTGTATATAAGAAGTGTGCCCGCTCTCTTTGTAAGCCCATATGTATGATTCTGAATGCATCCCTGATTTTCAGTGAAATTCCTTCCATCTGGAAAGAATCCATTATAACAGCTATTCCAAAAGTTCCGAATGCGAAGGTAGTGTCTTCATTCCGCCCAATTAGCATCACTAGTCCTACGATTAAGGTGCTAGAAAAAGTTATTCGTGACAAACTCGAACTTCATTTGACACGAAACAATCTTATACCCCCTGAACAGCATGGGTTCCTGATTTGTGCTTTCACGTGCACGCTGATAGCTGACTGTACATTCGAATAGAATCTGGCTATTAACAAAGACCTAGGTGTGGATGTGATCTACTTCTACTTATCAAAAGCTTTTAAAAAAGTTAGACACGATAAACTTCTCTCCAAGCTCCGATAACTAGGTGTCAATGGAACACTTTTTGAATGGGTTCGGTCCTACCTGAACCTGAGGTACATGTGCGTGAGAGTCGAAAACTCTGTCTCGAGGCGATACCCATGAAGTAGCGGCGTGCCACAAGGTGGTGTTTTGTCACCCCTTTTGTTCTTGATATATACTTATGATTTACCTAATCTTTTGACTACGCATCCAGCAGTTAAGGTTGGTGACGATATAAAGGTATACGCCGTTTATACTGGGAATACTCATGGTTGTATTCATCAAGCCTTAACCCAGTCCATTAATAACATGATGGAGTGGGCTAATGCCTGGGAAATACCCGTGATTTGTCGAAACATCTGTACTTCATATTGGGAAAGCCCTCATAGTGCCGTACACATACAAAGTAGTTCTACGGATCTCCGAAGGAGTCCGTGACCTCGGCTTCCATGTGAACTTGGGGCTGAATTTCGATCATCACATTAGCTTAGTTGTACAAAAGGCATTTGATATTCTCTTTGCTATTTTCGGTATGATGATGCATCAACCTTGTTGAAACTTTACAAGTCTTATGTAGTCCCAGTTCTAGAATATGGGTCTCAGATCTGGAGCCCCCACATAAAGAAGTTCCGAGTGAAAATAGAGAAGGTACAGCAAACATTCACAAGAATTTTGATGTATCGATGCTATCCGAATCCAGATTACCCCATTGGTATGCCCGGTTACAGAGAGCGTCTGCATCGATTCAAACTCAAAACGCTTCTCTATCGCCGCTCTTTTAACGATGCAGTCTTCTGCTTCAAGCTTCTGAAGGGTGAGCTGAAGCTGAAGCCAAGTACTTACTGGACTTTTAGACCTTGTCGAGGGCGCGCCTACAAGCTCTCTCTACAGTGTCCTAAACTTATGAAAAAAACAGTATTGTAAAGCTTCTAACTCTCTACTGTTCCGTGGGGCAAAATGGCTTCAGATGTTACCAGCTGAAATTCTCGCTTCGCAAAATAGCAACGTTTTCAAAGATAGGTTGAAGAAAATTGACTTGTTATTTCGCCTTGGAATACAAGATTTTAGAAGACTCTTTCGAAACACGTGAAAATTAGCTAGTCAGCATTTCGCTTTTAGCTTCTTTCTGCTAATGCTTTTTGCAATGACCTTTAAACCTGGTTGACTCGTGCTGAAATGAAGTGCCCGCTCTAGACTACCGAATTTTTTCCTTTGCGTCATAATTTTTTTGTTTGTTTGTTGTGTTTTGTTGGAATCTATTGTGGATGTACATGATTCCTTTAATTAGGTAGTAGGTCTCTAGTGAGGAGGATTACTAGGATTAGTCATGAGCCCTCTGCACTAGAACTTGACTTTCTTGTCTCACTTCATTTTTTCATCTCACAACCTGATGATTCTTCTAAGGCTGTGATAATCGTAATGGCGGATCGGAGGCTGAATTATAGGATATGGAATACCTAACATCCGAAAATTCGGTTTCCGATTCCATAGGTATGCCAGTTCCGGAGTGGCGTTATCCCTAGCGCCATCCGTCTAATGAAATCAAAGGTGGATGCTCTTCAATTATCATCCAGCATAACAGCTCGTAGTACCGATCTGACCTTCCTGTAGTGCCTACTTTGGTTCATTCTTTTTCTTAATGCACCTGAGGAGATCTTTCTCCCTTTTGTTTTAAACCATACTTTCTTTTATTGACTGCAGGTTGTTAAGTTAATGTGATCGTGAAATTGTATCTAACTCACTTAAGCGTGCACTAAATAAATAAAAATAAATAAATATGTCCAAAAATATCTCCACGTACGTTTTAGCTCATGATCTCAAGTTTTGCGTGCATACTTGCAACATACAGCATGTTAGTGTCATCCTTGTCTTTCATAGTTAGCGCTCCTTTCAGGTTCTGCTTGTATGTGAACTCTCGTCTCTGAATTTTTGTCTCGGATGATTTGAAAAAAGTCCCTAAGATCCCTTGGGAGGGTTCCGACCATGTCTTCTTCCTCTTGAGTATATTGTGAGAGAACAGCAAGCTGCTGTATCAGTTATTGGTTCAAAGGCAACGCCCTTGCATTAAAAAACCGCCCATAAACTCCATTGCTACACCTATTGCCAGGCTGTTTCGTTTGGGATATTTTCGGACGCAAACATTGACCTTCTGAGTATAGAGAGCACGAGAGCAGAGCTTGAATAATTGAATTCCAAATTGATGACGCCTTTCCAGTGTTCTGCCAAAACGAAATCCGACCCTTGAGTGACACCATCGACTCGTCAATGCACAGTTCTTTTCCAGGCCTGCATACGTACTCAAGTTGAAATCGATCATTCGAGTAATCGAGAACAGGCTGCAGCCTGTAAAGCTTATTTGTCTTGTCGGTGGCAGCGTTGTCGATGAAGTGGAGATGCCTCTGTAAATAGAGAGCAAAGAGTTTTCGCAGTTCACTGCTGTTGGTGGAATCCCAATTATCGTGCTTTTGCCGCCTGTAGACGTTGATCTGGTCAGAGATTGGAGCAACCGGTTCCTCAGAGAAAAACAGCTGATAAAATTGGAGTGATGTCTCGCAGTAATCCACCTCGGGACTAGTACCATCGGGAAAGGTCCGTCTGTGGCGAGTTCGAGCATCGTCCATCCATATGCTCTCTGTTCGTCGTAATGGTCATCTGATATTTCGGTGTCACATTCATCGATGTCAGGAACAGCTGCAGGAGCCATATCGTAGCCGTTCACACCACTGAGAGCTTCATAATAGCCGTCGAGCAGCAAGTTGTGAACTTTCGTTGTATTGGTCGATATTGATATGCGAAATGCTCATCCAAATAATGCTGGATTGTTGTGAAATATTTTCTAGTATCATGTATTTTCGGATGCTTCTGATCGCAGTCATTTTTTTAGGAGTTAACAAGTTTTTAAATAGGAAAACTGAACGTCTCACGCACCAGTCAAGAAAAAATTAGCTCTCCGTCAAAAAGGATAGGGCGGATAGTGTCTAGATTTTTACCAAGACTCTGATTAAAGGCCTCGATTTCCGGAAAGATTGTGGTGAGACTGTCTATGATGGGAAAAAGAGACTACCCTCCAAGCGAATATTACAGGGTGTCCCAAAATTATGGGCGCCAATTCATGGCAATGTATTCAAACCTTCTAAGCTGAGAATGACAACTGAATCTATATGCACGTTTGCTACGATCATATGCTAAACATGTTACAATCACAATTTAAAAAACTCCTCAAGACCGCGAATATGGGCCCAACGCTTGTTCTCGAACCTCTAACATGTTGCACGCAGGTATCCTTCTCCATTTTTCCCAGTTGTTCTCGAGCATCGCCACCTAGGACTCCGAGCTGGAAATGCAAACCCGACAGGACCTCTCCTAATCAGTGACCATACGGAGGAGTCATGTGAGTCAAGATCTGGCAAGCAGATTTGCCATTCCTCTTTGCTAATGAAGTCGGGCAGCTAGCGTCGGCATCAATCCCGGGCGAGTGGTTCTGTGGCCTGGAGTACCGTCTTGCTGAAAGGATCCGGAGCTATTTCAGGAAGCACAGTCGAATCGATGTTCCACTACGTCCACAATCATGCTCTTCGAGTAAGGTCTTTGCCATTCTTTCACGCCACCACCGACAAAACCGCCTGCCTCTTACCCTTGCCACTAACCCCCCTCATAAACATCATTTTGCTTCCCTTAAAAAAACTTTTGATGTTCCACGTTCGATGTTCTTAGCTAGAACGGAAACGTCTCACTTGTTGAAGAATGGTTTTGTCGCGAAAATTTCTGTAGCAACTTTCTTCATTTTTTGCCCTACCTTATCTGTTTATATCGAAAGTAAAGCGACATTTCTGTGTACGAGAGGGACGGCAATGAAGCTTTTGCTTGACAATCCGCCCCACCAACAACTTCAATAAGTTCTTCTCCTTTGCTGTTTTTTGAAGGGCCATCGAGGATCACGATCGACTTGCAAACGGACCATTTTGGAAGTCCTATCTTTAACAGCAGGAATCCTTCAACCTCTTCCCGGTTTGTCTTCGACAGAATTTTCTTCTATATATCGTTTAATAGAATTTTGAACGGTTATTATAGGAATCACAAGGAATTTCATAATACCTTTCTGCCTCTCGCATGCCAATGATTGCAAGCGGCATTAAATGAGCCTATCTGAAAGGTATTGGAAGTTCCTCTCCACTGATCATGCATATTTCGAGGAAACCTACTTATGCAACTAATTAATAGCAAATGAAGTGGACTCGATAAATAATTTCTACCTCAGAAACTTCTACGTTTCGGCGCCCATAACTTTGAGACACCCTGCAACGTTCGTGTTTATTGGACTCCATTCTTCCATTCAATTTCGTGCTGCTTCTCAGTTGGTCAAGTTCCGAAGTCAAATACTACGGAATTAGTGAGGGGGACGTAGTCTCCAAGAAGAGAGATGGGGCATTGCCACCTGTAATAGTAGACGGAACCTCTCTGCGGGCCATGAATTCAGAAAATCTGCTGTAGACATGCTCCCGACTAGTCCTAGGTGAATTAACCGCATCATTCCGCAGCTAGTATGTACCCATAAATTCGCATTCTTCACCATTTCTTCTACAATTGAGGGATCGAAAAAATCAAGACCGATATGTTGAAATGCGTGACTGCGTACTACCGTGTGAATAGGAAAGCCCAATGTTGCCGGATAAGCGCAGGGTAAACCGTCGAACGCGCGACATTTTACACTGTTTTTCGTCGAGTGACGGACTTGTTATCTTAATTTTGGGATCCAGTAGTTTGGATGTATCGTTGCCATCGTGTGTTCGATGCCATGATGTTATGTTCTATAGGCCTCTTGCATGAGTAGTGCCGTCAGTGGTGTTTTGGGAGACACAAAAATGGGACCTTTTGAGTATGGGTTCAATACCGCGTTCCTATCCGTTCTTTCGATCGCGAAATGTTGTTTTCCTCTTTGAACGGAGGCAGCTTTCTCCCGATGGATGTCCGGTAATCGTCAGTAAGGGGCATAGTTGGTGAATAATAACCCTTCGAGAAGCAGTCAAAGCGTTTTCTCCGATTGTTCGTGAATAGCTGGCCATATGTGTAATTCCGAAATGTTTGGAAGTAAGGCGTCTTTTCTTACCTGCGGCGAGCGTTCTAGTAGCTTCTGATGAAAATCATGACGAGGGCCATTACCCATTTTGCTTTTGTTGATGAACCGAAGCGGGATAGTCTTTTACTGTTTTTTTTTGTTTCCTGTCTAGTTTTTTTTCCTATCGCGATTATAAGCAGTCCGATCATGCTCTAACGCATTGTCTATGGCAAGTGCATATGTACATAGGAGCTGATCATGAGTCCGTAAGTTAGCTGCTTCCCGCCAGAATGCATGGGACAACGGCGTTCTTGCAAGATCTCGGGCACCGGCAGCCGCATTTCCGTTTTTTAGTACAAATCTGAAGTGCACCTGTACTCCTTCATTATCGAATGCTCCTGCAATGCGTCGTATCCCTTTCAATGTATTGTTGAGGAACATTCCTAGATCTGAAGTGATCAGAAAGATGTAGACATTTTTTAGACGTTGGAAGATGCGTTTTATATTGAAAATGCGAGACATGTTGAAAATATAGACGCATGGCGACGTAGCGATGGAGGTTGCGTCAGAGAAAACTATCAAATTGCTGGCTTCTGAATTAGTCAGAAAGCGTCTGCAGAAAGCGTGCTTGACTCCATACACATTACATCCTCACAAAGCATGTTCTAGGTTTTTCGCGAGTGCTCGGGAATGGTGCGTCCCAACCTGCCTTATTTTTATACAAGTCTTGTTGGAACCTTTTTGCTGGAGTGAGAAGTGTTACGTGATACTCAAAGGGTCATACACTGAGGCAATCTTCCCGCTACAATACCTTTCATGAGATGTGGCATAGGTGGAAGGTTGCATCGTAGTGTTAGCTTGTCACCTTTCTTTCTCAAGTATTCTTAAAACTTTTTGATATTCTAAGCTTGTACGTGACTCTCGAGGTAACCCTTCGTTCATGGCTTTGTCCTTGGATAGGAACACTCGCAAGTTCATGCCCATATCTGTGGAAATCTCTCGACTATATTTAGTATGATCATTGCCATCTCTGGGTTCTCTGTTTCCCTAATGTAAGATTGTCGACCCAGAGGTCTTCTCTTATTCACTTTTCTAGCCTCCTGTCACTTACTGCGTTGCGAAGTTGAAAACGAACTGTTGCTAGAACGAGAAAAGGCGACAAGGTGTTGAGACCGAATGTAACTCTGGTGAATTTATACGCGACCACGTTTCCCTTTGTGGGATCCTTTTCATAGTTGCGTACCTGAATGAAACGCATTGCGACGTGGTCGTGTTCATGTAAACGAACTTGAAGGAATTCTTTTTCCAAATATGACGATGACGACGACTTCCGAGAGCCGGAACGTAATAACATACCGTGGAGTTCAGGAAGGATGAGGAGACCCCTATGTAGAACATTATTCGATGTGGGACGACTTTTGAAATGCGATGGAGCATCGAAAACCATGTGTAATTTAGTGGTTTGCTTCTTAGGCGTGACAACCGTCTGATGAAGGATGTTTGGGCTACCTCTCCATCCCTCGATTGGGATTCGGGCACTTCTTCGAGTATGCCTTCTCTCAGGTGCATTTTGACTGTGTTGTGGTAAACCTCAAATAGTTTTGTTTTGGTTTAAGATCTAAGCATGTTTACACACTGCTGAACCTTTTGAACGCGACAGCTTTATTCGAGAGGAGAAAATGATGATTTTGTTTGCATGGCAGGCGTTCATAAAAGCTGTCACCTCTTTGGTCTTGTTAAAAAAACGAAAGTACTTGTTCGTTTATCGCCATCCTTTGAGGGCGTTAAATGTGCCACTGTATTCACATTTACCAGCCGTGTCCATAGCCCGATATTTGTCATATCTGTTTATCCTCATCTTCACCTGTGATGGATTCTATCGTTGATACCATACTGGGCGTCATCCTCGTTTTCTTTTGGAGCTTCGAAATGAGTAGATATCCCAGTTCCGAGGGGGTAACCTGGACCCTCGAGGGTAGCGTGTATTGAGGAGAAGAACAACACATTAACCCCATAGCTGGTCACAAGCAAGAAAAATTGGTGGTATGGACTCACTGCGAGTATCTTGCTTTGAGAGCTCTAGCTTAGGCCTCGCGATCAAGTTCACATCTTCAGCAGTAAGATGCGTTTCGGTTTCTCAATCAGTTAGTGTTGGTACTGTATGCAAGTCCAATCTATATATGTTTCTCTCCTTTGTTGTCTTTTAGTCCAATTGACACATCTTGTTTCTGTCGGTGCTGGGGATCCAAACAAAGTAAATGCTGAAGTGCATCGTATCGTTACAAGTGAGGCCTAGTTCCTGTGCGAGGGTTTGATTAATGGATGACTGATCTGCTCCAGTATCAACTACGTTTCCACTGGTTGTCACTTTTCCTCTATCACATTCCACACTTTTCCCATTCATGTTGAGAGTCTCCACGTACGGGCTTCAATGAAACTCGGCATGATTTAGCTTGACATAATTTTGCGTTTAATTCTCACAAGATTGTTATGAAACTTTATTGGCTGAAGTTTCGGCGATGTCGCCCTCCTCAGAGCCTGAAAAGATCGGAACAATTTGTGTATATCCGATCAAACGCATTTGCAGCCCTACTGAAGTTCAAGACCCCCAGGGCACGCACGTAATCTAAAAAGGAGCCACTCACCGTAACTTCGTGGATTCTGGCAATCACCCAGCAACCGAGAGTGGGACCAGAGTCAGATGAGCTGGGACTTCATCAAAACTACCGTGAGAAGGCCAACCTATATAGGGCCTCAGTTTCCGCGTAATTGTGAGGCGTTCTTCCCTCCGGTTTATCTCTGGATTGGTGACCTGTATCCAAAATGTCTCGAAGGGTTTTTGCGCGCACATTTGCCTTTTCTGGGGCACGACCTTCACAGCGACCTCAAAAACGATTCTATTATGGTTTTGAATGCGGTGGGCTCCCAAGGCTGCAGACTCGCTTGATCGATGCATGCAATTTAGGTGCTCCTTGATTCTCACATGGAGTGGCCTTGCCGTTTCGTCAATATACCCATCCCCACAGTCATGGCAGGTGATCTTATAGAGCATCCCAAACATAGTGCACTCCCCTTCCCTGCCACTTGGACAGACCACACAATTTGAAGTGGTACACAGGCGATCGTGTTGTCGATTCCGAAGCAGACGTTGCTTGAGAATGAGAGGTGGTACCTTTATAATGGTCACTATATTTTGCAGAACCGACCTTAAGGCCTTTTCTAACGGTGGCGCTGACTCTATCAGATGGCACTACAAAGGGAACCTTTCCGTCTATCGAGGTTCTTCCATTTCTCGTATGACGCCACTGAAAGAAGGTCTGTGGGTGGTGCCGTGGCCAATCAATTGGGCAATATCGCGTGCCATTTCCAGTGATTCTTTTCGCTCATCCTCTCCAATGCAGACCTTCGCAGCGGCACGGAGTATTTTTCTAACAACTGCCCCTTTCGTCTGGTAAGGACGAGCTGAGCGGCAATGAACAATGTTTTCATTACTTGGCTTTCTGTAGCCCTTCGTAGTGATCCTATCACCCTGTATCCTCACCTGGACATTCAGAGGAGAGAGCCAATTTCTGGTAGGTTTTTCTGAAAGAGTGCCTCAGTTGTAAAATTTTTGGATGGTCGGGAAGGTATTTGGAGCAGACTAGAGGCTTAGCCATGGGGCAACAGTTGTCGCCTTCTTTGACAATAGCTTTTTGGCCGGGGTAGAAGCGCCTGTGATGGAACATCTCCCCTTACTCTATTGCAGGCATGTAGATGACTGCTTCATAGTCTCTTCAACGCAGGAAGAGATAGATGTGTGTTTTGAACTACTCAACACACAGGCAGAACGGGAAAAACCTACCGAAAATCGGCTCTCTTTCTGAATGTTCGAGTGAGGTTACAGGGTGACAGGATCACTACGAAGTGGTACAGGAAGCCAAGCAAAAAAAACATTGCCATTGTCGCTCAGCTCGCCTTCCCACAGTAATTTTGATGAAGACCCAGCTTATCTGACTCTGGTTCCACTCTTGGCTGCTGGGTGATTGCGAGAATCCACGAAGTCACGGTGAGTGACTCCTTCTTTAGATTATGTGCGTGCGCTAGGGGTNTCGAACTTCAGTAGGGCTGCAGATGCGTTTGATCGGATATGCACGATCTTCTCAGGCTCTGAGGAGGGCGACATCGCCGAAACTTCAGCCAATAAGGTTTTATAACAAGCTCGTGAGAGATGAACACAAAATTATTATAAATCAAACCTGTTAAGAGTAGTACACGTTCATTCCTGATGTATACTATTGTATGGGTGTTATAAATGCTTGATGTGTCTGTAACTTCCAACTCTTGTGGAGCTGAATTTTGCGTAGCGTCCTCCCTTATATATGCCGATACGAGATCTTATTTTTTTTTGCTCTCTCTTTTTAATTCGCGAATGGGTCGTATTGCTTCTTGCTTTCTGCTGCGCTATTGATTTCAGAGTCGGTGTTGGTTTTTTGTTGGCTAGCGGAACTTCTTGTTATTTTATATGTTTCCCCATTCACTAGGAGCACAGGACTTGATTACGTTTTTTTATTCCACAGGAGCTGCACCCTTCGTTTCTGCAGTCCTTTACCCAATGTCCTTCTCGTCCACAACTGAGTGGGTTTGAAGGAATGGCAGAACACAACAACACTTCTTTTGCGTCGTGGAAGCATGGATGTCTTTTTCTAACCTTATTCTCTCTCGTCGAAGGGTATCCCTCGCTCACTGACCATTTCATTTATGCGCTCTTCTGTGCTAATTTGAGTGTCCGCCGCTTCTATTATGGTTGACATTTTCCGGTGGCTCACGTCAACGTTTGGTGCCGCCAAATATTCCATTACCTCCAGCTGTAGCCAGTTTGCGGGTTGCAAACTTGATAAGCACCTTCTGGACGTTGTACGATCCGTCTAATACAATCCCTAGTTTTCGAAGTTGTACAACGATCGGAACCGGCGTTTCCAGAAGCTTTTTCTTGAGCTTGTATTGCTGCACTCCTGCTGCCGTCTTCTCTAAACGGTGTTGTAAAGTGGATGTGAGCTGAGAATGGTACCATCTTTCTTCTTCAAAAGCTCAACCGCGAGCGTATAATTTTTCCGTGACGGGGTATNGCTTGATTAATTGGCATGGCTCGCCACGCAGTGCCAATTTCAGGTGATTCAAATTCTTTAAGACGCTCATTGAATGTTAACTGTCCACAACGGCTTCGAGTAGAGTCCCAAAATTGGAAAACTCCCGTATTTTGCCATTAAATACCGGTATTGGAACGGGGGTATTTCAGGCCGAGTGTGTCCAGCTGATGGCTACCGCTTGCCTGTGTCGAAGGCTCGTTTGCTTCGTATGTTTCTGCATTATATGCATCCCTTCAAGTTGCAACACAAGCTTTTCAGCGTTTTTGACTGCGCAAAAGGCCTTTTCTCTCAGGTTGATGCATTTTTCCCGACCCTTTTTTTAATTATCTCAAAAGCAAACCAACCTGAAGATTGGAGTCATGCAACATTGCCATCCACCACTCGTCGCCAAAGCTGAGGCAGCTTGTCAATTCCTCCTCCCAAAAGGACGGGAGCTAGGACTTGAAGAATTCGTAGTGCTTTTCTGATATAGTCTTCCGTTTCCAACTTTTTTTCCGTCCAGAAAGCGCTGCAGATGGCTAAGCAGCAGTAGTCGGAAGGAGCGAGGTCAGGGCTGTAGGGCAGCTGGGCGCCAATCAGCCATCCGTACTTCTCAAGCTTAGTCTGGTTCGCCTTTGCGTGTGAGAACGTGATCTTCCAATTTCCCAGTTGGGTAAAGTATGTGGAAGCGTCAATTATCTGCCCCTTCTCCAGAAGCTCCCTGTGTTCCATTCCTCTACTGGTCCACCGATGAGACAAAAGAATCTTCTGGGGTAATTTTCGGCTTTGAGATGGCCTCAGACTGTTATCCTCTGCCGACCCGCTGCCGATTCTTCACAGGGTTATCGTGAAAGACCCCTTTCTCATCCATAACAATCATCGAGTTGAGAAAGTGGAGCATCTCTTCGAAAGAGAGAAGTGCAGGCGGCCATCCTTTTCGAGAGATCATAAGTGGACAGGCATGTGGGGCTTAGCGTCCAAGCTTTGCTACCTTGACGAGCTGTTCCAGTCCACGTAGAATCATCGATTGATTATAGCCGAGCATGGACGCCACTTCCGTGGTGGTTAGGTAGGCGTACTCCTCCACGGGGATCGCAGTACTTCCAAATCCGACTTAATAATCCGACCCGACCTCGGAACATCTTTAAGAGAAGTCTCCTTTCTTGAATTTAGCGAACCAGAAACTGCATGCGGTAAGAGATGAGAAGAAGAGAAGATGTCGTTTTCATATGCAGGATGGGAGAGTGATAGCTAGTGTGATGAAAGAGTATCATGCACAGGTCACGCAAACATGGTGACGAAATACCGACATCCATGCAAACGAAATACGGAGGGATAAACCTGGGGAAAAAATTTATGCGTCAACCTGATATATAACGCTCGGTCCGCGTCTGTTGTTCCGTTGTAAGAGGCCCACTCAAGTTATCCTCTGCGTAAATGAATGAATCAATTTGATTTGAGACCAATTGAACTGAGCCCTTCAGTCCTACCATGTATTCCGTTGGCTCCCTCCCACGTAAGGATTGATTATCGCGTTCATTTCCATACCTGTTAGTGAGTCCTAATAGGTTGTTGCAGTATCGCGTGAGGAGGAAATTCTGTTTTTAGCGCCATTGGACCCGACGTGATATACCGCGGAAAGAGAATGAGAAAAACTCGAAGAGAAAAAACCTCAACTGATGGAACAAAAAAATAAGCGCGATTTTTTTGCGTGCATTTTGCGTAAATTTCCGTTTTGCGTAAGTGGGAATCGAAAAATTGAAGCATTTGAATAGAAATTCGTTACCTCTCTATCGACTCCTTGCTCCTTCTGACGAATGCAAAATGAAAGAGTTCTGGAAAGACCAGATAGATATGTTGGAATCCAACAAAGTGGTTCAGTATGGTCTTTAAGCAGAAGTTGAACAAACAAAAGCGAATTTGGCGTGTCGAGATGAAAAACTAACATTATCGATGGCTAGGTGGACTTTTTTAACCTCCTCTTGAGCTCAACCAAAGTTAACACGTCAAGCCTACATTATCATCAGACCACCCACCAGCTTCAGATGCACCATTCCAAGGATCGCGAATAGTCGCGATAGTTTATATGTACGCATTTATCTATCGCCTTGAAATTGAGCTTGACCGTATGTCGCTTGGTTGGAAATATTTATGCTTATTACATGCTTTTTCGAACATACTTGTTGGCACGAAATCTTCTGAGCTTGAGATATTTTTTATTCATGCATATACATGCACAGCCATCAAAGTTTTGGGCAAAGCTCAAGTATGTGGGACGTCCACCGATGCAGAGCTGAAGTTGTTGTGACGAAAAGTCTATTTCCAATGTTTATGACGCGTTGCGGCCTAAATAAGTGGATAGGTTCTGAAATGAAGCTCAGTAAATGGCACATCTGATCACTCATAAATGCTGTAGTTATCTGCAAAAAATCAACGTGCCCGGGATTTTTTTTTTGTTCGTACTTCACTACTTCTGAGAGAAGTTACAGTGACGGATTAGGATGTGGCTTCAAAAGCGCACGATAAGGTAAGGTTGCTCGCGTTGAAAAATCCAAGTTCGATTTCATATGTGTATGTTAGGATAGGTAGCAGGTGATTCTATACTCAAGTTAGATATACAGTTTAGGAAAGGTAGAATATGGTAACAGGGGAATTAAAGGCACAGTCAACGATAATTCTGGGTTGCCTAGTTTTGAAAGAGTATTGGAAGTGATAGTCCAGTATAGGGCAAAAGGGGCAAAAAAACAACGCGGAAATCGACGTATTAAGAGAAATATAAAGCATTGCAAAAAAGAAGCAAAATCAGGGGTTGGAGAGGAATGTTACGAAAAAGCTGCATGGATAGGGTATGTGGACGAGCTGTTCAAGGGTACGCGCCTTGTATACAGTTTGCTGCAATGCAATGCGTGCAAGATGTGAGTCTCTGTGTAGTGCAACCTCTACAACTTCTCAGCGCTTAACAACTCCTCCTCGGATGTGTTTATCGGCCAAGCCAGTTTTGTGAGCTCTTATTACGCCCTGTCGTGACTGTTTTTCGATTCGACAGCGTCCATTAGGCTATCTTTTGGAGTCACCGGTTCATCTTGAAGAGCAATTTCGAAACCATTCCAACGTGAACGGTGCCTTGAAGCCTGACTTTGGATGTGCAGTTTAGGCCACGGTAGAATGCGACAGCAGAGAAATCAAGCCTCGATTTAAATGTGCAGGTTATGATATAGAAAGATGTGGTGACAGAGAAATCAAAACTGGACTCACTGCGCAGTTTAGCACACGGAAGGATTGCAGTGTGTAGTTAAGAGTAATGTAGACCGGAAGGAATTCATCCTCGATGTTAGTTCATACTGCTGGAACATTTTCCTATCTTCTATTTGTGCAGATTTGCACCCATATCGCCTGCTGTGCAGATTTTCCCTTCCCTTTTGTCCTGGATCTTTTCCTTTTTTTCTAAGTTTTCATGAAATATTGGGACAGAATCAGTGATTTTCAATCGGAATTCCTATTTTCCTTCAGGTAGAGTCGATTTGGAAGCCGACTATGAGTGCCGGCTTTGGATTTTACCTTCTACCTTAACTTCTCCCACCTCGCGCACACCTGATATTCGTACTTTGAAAGCCTCTACTCGTCAGAATGTTTTAAATCTCTTTGCGAATTTTTTTTAGTGGACACGCTTAACTTGAGATGCCATGGAGCTTAGAAGTGTGGAATACATTCCTGGATAGAGTTGGGAATAGTCTATCTAAATCTATTTTTGACCACTTTTTGTTTATTCTAACCACTTTTTCGGCTTGCTACGACGCTCTTGAATAGAGTTATCGTCGTTTCTCCGGATCTCCGCCAACCTCGATGCAAACCCCGCACTAACTAACGACTCTTGACAACTTCCTTTTAAAACACCCTCTATTCGTGAGCCTGCTCCACCTATCTTAGGAATGGGGGAGGGGGTCGCTGGTTTCACCTATGCATAACATATCCTGAACCCTGCTCGATCAAACTAATTTTTTTGACGTACAGGATCTGGTAAAAGCAGTTATGGACTTATGGATTTAGGGTTCGTCTAGAAAGTACCGCCCATCTTGGGTACGCTCCGTCTGCCGTTAATGACGCTTTTTCGTCTAGGCTCTTCTAAAGCCAAATAATAACTTTTGCCTCTGGCACCACCCTCTTCGGTGCATGTCCCGCCCTCTGTGAGCAGCGTTCCGCTGAGCTCATGTTGCTCTGTTTGTCTTATCCTAGGTCTCACCTATCCCAAAAATGACCCGACAGTAATACCGAATTCCATGATAGACAAACAGACAGACAAACAGACAGACAAACAGACAAACAAGACAGACAAACAGACACCAAAATTGTGGTTTACATAGAGTAAGGGTAACTGCACGACAAGAAGAAACAAGTGTCTAATGCCTGTATTAGGCTCATGGCACCAGAAGGGATGTTTATTAACCATGGCTGCTCTCGTTAGTGCGGACATGATGGCTACATTATTTTTGAAGAATGCCTTCCGTCCCACCAACATTGATGTTGGTGAGTGCCACCCTTATTTCAACTGCTTGGTCGTAATAGGTGTTTCCCTCGCTCGGACCTCCAAATTTTACGACCGCAATAATTAATGCCTCGGAACGAACGGGGAAAAGATAATACGTTACAGTGAAGAAGTGGCTGTTAGCAGGGACTGATTGCACGACCCTTTTTACTCTAGCCAAGTCTGTGGAGGGTAGGAATTGCAGTGTGTGCATTTCCGATCCCATATAGGGAGTGGTTTGTGTGTGTGTGGAATAAACAACGAGTCAGTAGCGATACTCATGGTTTAGACAGGAACCCAATGACCTCAGAGATCAAATCCGCAAAGCGATAGAATCGACAGTCGAAGGTTTACTAATCCTCTGAGTAAAAGCCTCGCAGAATCAGCAGCCTGAGCAAAAGCCTCACAGAATCAGCAGCCTGAATAAAAGCCTCGCAGAATCAGCAAAGACGCCCTTTACAAACCCTGACCCATAATCTCATGCATCGGTTTCGCGCTGAAAACTGTTCCAGATCATCACTATGAGCAAAGCTTCGTCCACGTCTTAAGTGTTTATGTTAAACGCTCACTTGCAACTATCTTCATAGCCTCGTTCACAGAATTGTTTGGCATATTTGGAACGCAGACTCGAAATGAGCATTTGAAAATACGTCTAACAATGCGAGTTTCATTTCAAACCGCTACTTCGACATGGATTCTTCCCTCGTAAGTAGAAGACTGAAAATTGACAAAAACCAACTATTACTGGCGAAAATGGTCCCTTGATCGAAATAGCTGGATCGCATAGGAAGCCGATGATGATTCATTGCAGGACCATTCGGGAGAGGTGGTTGCTGGTATAGGGAAGGACAGAGTGGCGGGCTCGATGTATTCGAAGAAGAAATCAGTGGCTGGACCACTGATCCGATAGATGCGTAACCTCTCCCGAGGGAAATGTCTCCTAACATCACTGGGTAGGGAGAAAACATTAGTCCGTTCAATCCAGACGGAAGTGGTGCTGAAATCAGTGCATTGATCTTATCTGAAGATGAGCATGAAGAGAAATTACCTATTTTTGGACTCCTGGGAGGGAATACGAGAGAAGAGCCAGCGGCGCTTGATGCAGGTTTGCAAACGCTTTGAACATGTTCAGTTCCGGACTGTGGCTGCGGCTTAACTTTAGCGACATTGGATGGCAAAATGGAATCCGTTTCTTTTTCTTCTCCGCACC